AAGTCCAAATTCTTTATTACCAAAAAAGCCCATTGCCAAGATGAAAAACAAAAAAAGGAAAAAAGCCATGCTCATTATGATTCGGAAACCATGAACAAAATGAATAAAGCTCATCCAAACGTCTTAAGACCATCTTATACACTCCCAGGTCGTTCATTCAAAACCATCATGACCCTATTCTCCAAGTTGTGAATTCACAGTATTGCCAGGCTATCACGAATTGTAGCAGAGTCTTCGTACGAAAAGGCAACGGTAAAGGTGAAATTCTAGCCATCACATACGTTGAGCCATCACGCGTTGTGGATCTCCAAGACAAAATCAATAAAGATGAAATGGCAAAACGCAGCACAGACAAGACTGCACACAACGTACATACCCCTCACAAATTGTCTCTGTCATAATAAGACTATCACCTGCAAAATGAAAAAGACTGCAGCATAACACCACACTGTTTTAGCCTGCAAATAATTTCAAGAAAATGGATAATAACGACAAAAGTGTTACGGAGTGCAGCGGCTACGACAACAAAGTTTCATAAACATGTATTATGTACAACCTGCGAACCGGTACCGCGTAGGAGATATGAAAACGAAAATACGTTACCACTCCAAATCCTCTTTAATAACACGGACCGAAAAACGTTCAGAAGGGGCGGAGACACAAAAACCTTTTCCTTCTCCTTCAATCTTTTTTTTTCTCGAATCACAAAATCCTCTTCACTAACAGACCCTCCTCTTTCAGAACAAAAGGGAGGCGAATCCCTTTCAACCTTCGGTGACCAAATCCCATAAACCCTCTTCTTCCTCGAAAAAACCCAACATTCATTCGTAGAAAACATCAAAACCCCAATAACCATAACCTTCTTCAACCTCTAATCTTCAAGCAACTCAAACTTCAGACAACTTGTCCAACCCCAAAACTTCAACAACAATGAAACCTAATTGTTTCTCACTTCAAAAACTACAAATTCAGAAATCAAAACGGATCAGAATAGAGATGAAGAGAAGGTAGAGGGAACCAACACAGATCTAAAACCAAAACTTGAGACACAAAGGATAGAGGCGAGTCGATGCGCACGAGTAGGTTGAGAATACGATTTCTTTTCGTTCATTTCGGATCTCTTTTGGTCTTGCGCGATCATGAGTCTTTGGATTCTGAGCTTTTCTTTTGATGAATACACGTTAGCGATGATGAAGAAGTGTGGATGTGGGTTTCATTTTCAAAAAGGAGATTTCTTTGAAAACTTTGATTAGAGACCATTTTTTTTATCACTTATTGGTGGTCTTGTTGTGTGGGCCGAACTCTGAAGTGAGATTATTGGGCTTCATAGCCCATACCATGTTTGCTCTTCCACTCTAAACTTCATCCGTTTTTGTTTTTTTTTGCTGGATGGTAATGGATTAAGTGGGCTATAAAGGCCCACGATGATAATCATAATAAAACTCCCCTGTATCTTGATCACACGCCACCCCCTTTCTTTTCTCTTAAAATATCTTTTAAAAAGCTTTAATATAAAGTTTTCATAATTGTTTTTTTAGATAATTTTGTTAAAAGCTGCAATTTAATTTATGTACATTTGTTAATATTTTCGATTAATATTGTAAGAATCCTTTGATAAATAATTTTGGATATACTTTCAATCGTAACTTCTTTTCCTGTCGTGTTTCGGTCGATGACGAGACCTCCAAGTTATAGTTTGTCAAATTATTGACAAATAATAACAAACCTGAGACCAACTTTTTTCTTCAAACTTTCATTTTCGATTTTTATCCACTTTTCTCTTATTCTTTAGTCAATGATGACTTTAATAATTATTATCGGTCAAATTATTGATAGATGATAATTTAGTCGAGACTATTTAATTTTCTATTTCATTTCCGCTTCATTTCTATTTATCCGACCAATGATGTCTTTAGATTCGTAAGCATCATGTATCGAAGTCGATAACCTTCTTGATTTCAAATCTATGGAGAATGACCATTTGGGTCATTTTCCCTACTTTGGGATCGTGATAGGTAACCTTTGATTAATCGACATTTTGTTTACGATTAAGACGAGGTCCCGCTTTTTTTTGGGTCCGTGCGACATGATTAAAGTAGAGAATGGTATTCAATACCATTTTTCTATCTTGTTTTTAGCACAAAAACCAACTCACGCGACAAACTCTTTTCATATCCTCGATTCAATCCAAATTATTTTCAAAATATTTTCTCAATTAAAACTCCGAAAGAAGGAGGTTCTTGGAATCTAGCATTCCTTGGATCTTCAAGTGATTGGTTCTCGAGGCACGCTCTTGAGTTATTGTTCATTAAATCTTTCGACTTTTTCAAAAGATTTTATCGATTTAAAACTCCGAAAGAAGGAGGTTCTTGGAATCTAACATTCCTTGAATCTTCGAGTGAATAATTCTTGAGGCACGCTCTTGAGTTATTATTCACTCAATCTTTCAACTTTTTCAAACATTTTCAAACATTCTCCTAAGTCGAGTGCTCGTCCGCATTCGCAACCGTCGACATTTTGCACACACTTCACAATTCCTCGTGGTTTCGATATTAGGGGAACCCTAGGGACTAATATCGTTTCTCACCATCCTAACACTTGACACATCGTAAAGTCGGTTCTATTTTCTAATCAATTCCTTGACTCGTCGTCGAGCCCTTTTTTCAAACCGACCTCTTTTTGCCTCGCATTCCATTTTCGATCCAATCTTTCTACAAACGTTTTTTTAAACTTACGAAAGAGGGATATTCTTAGAATCTAGCATTCTTTGAATATTGGAATGAGTAACTCTCGAGGCGTGCCCTTGAATTGTTATTAGTTCATTCTTTTGATTTCAAAACATCCAACTCTTTATCCTCAACACATTTCAATCCCTTTCCTTTTCGTGGTTGTTACCACGAACTACGACTGCTCTGATTCTTTATTCTCGTCCGAATGTAAGATACGTAGGCACAAGATTGCGATGATCTTGGCGAGCACACTTCCCATTTTCTCCCCTATTCCAAACTTCTATCTTCCTCCATTATTCCGTCAACTTTCCCATTCTTTCCCGTAGTCGAACTACGACGCTCTGATTTCTCATTCTCGTCCGAATGAGTATACGTAGGCACAAGGGCCCCAATCCTTGGAGAGCACCCCATTCACTAACCACCCATCTCTCCTTTACGTCTTTAACCTTTTACCCTACCAATTCTACCTTTATTATCGAGAAGAAAAACAAGCAAACCTAGATAACACTCTCCACAAATACCTTAAGAGGTTCTCGTTGAGTACAACGGACGTGAGGGGTGCTAATACCTTCCCCTCGCATAACCGACTCTCGAACCTGGAACTTGGTTGCGACAACCCTGTTCCTATCCTTTCGTTTTTAAGAGGTTTTCTCAATATTTTCCTCTCCCGTTTATTAGGGATAAATAAAGTTCGGTGGCGACTCTGTCGAACCATATTTCCGCGCCTTTCGCGCGAGGGTCGTTTCTCCGAAATGTCTCCGTGATTTTTTCGAGGTGCGACAATGTTATATTGAAAAAAATGTATTTGAAAGTGTTATTGGTACGTTACTCAATATACATGGAAAGTCCAAGGATGAACTTAAATCAAGAAAGGACTTGGTAGCGATGGGAATAAGAAATGAATTAGGACCCTTGAAGAAAGGAAATCGAACATATCTACCACCTGCTGCTTATACTTTATCTAGAAAGGAGAAAAAGATATTGTGTAAGTTTCTAAGTGAAGTTAAAGTTCCAGAAGGATACTCTTCAGATATTAAAAGACTTGTTTCTATGAAAGACATCAAGTTAAAGAGTTTAAAGACACATGATTGCCATGTTATAATGGAACACTTTCTACCAATAGGTATACGTTCTATTTTGCCAAAAAAAGTAAGAATCACAATAACTAAATTGTGTTTTTTCTTCAGGTCAATTTGTAGTAAGGTGATCGATCATGCGATCTTACCAACATTGCAAAAAGAAATAGTTATTACTTTGTGTGAGCTTGAAATGTATTTTCCTCCATTATTTTTTGACATAATGGTACATCTAGTTGTTCATCTTATGAAAGAGACAATTGTATGGACCGAATTTTTTACCCACATACCCATATTTCACCCTAATATTTATCAATATACCCAACCTTTCAAATTATTTTCCATTCTACCCACGTTTCAAACAAAAAAAAATCTTATAAGGGGGGCGTCATCCCCTATGGAGTCACCCTTGTAATTATAAGGGGGGCGCCATCCATGATGGAGTCACCTTTAAACGAATAAGAGGAGGCGCCGTCCCCTTTGGAGCCCTCCTTATTTCGTTAAATTTATTTAATTATTAATAAATTATATATTATATGTTTATAATATTTATTATTATTTTATTTAAAAAATTTATTGTATAAATAGATGAGGTTTGTATATTCTTTCACTCTTAAATTAACATTGTTTCTTACAAATTTAGCAGAGTGAATCATGTACCTTAGAAGATATGGGCATGTCATTTTCTCAAGAACCAAGCCTCCGATAAGGATGTTATTTTGGAACATCTAGAGTTTAGAGCAACTACGAAGAAATTTGAATCGCTGGTTAGAAGGAGACATTCCAGATGGTGAAAGAATTAGAAGTATTGAAAGACTTGTTTCGTACTTCCCAATTACAGATGGAAATATACGGCGGGAGTGGGTGCGAACTAAAGATGACAACGAAGTTAGGTCTATGATGTTCGGAACTGATGATATTACTTTGATTTTTGTTATATCTTAGTTTATGTTGTAATAATCCTTATATTTTTAATGATTTGCGTTGTTGCTTTAGAAGTGTTTCAATTTGTTTTTGTGGTAAACAAAAGTTGTTATAAATATTAAATTTCAAGGCTACACATTTTTTAATGACCAAAGTAAGTATATCTAGAACTTGTTCCAACATTTGGACAATGTTTCCTCGTATGCCCGGGAAGACGACATATTCCACACAATCTTTCCATTTTCTCAGTTATATCCATTTCAGTTCTAATTCACGTGCTTTTGGGGCGGCCCTTTTTGTTTCTTCTCGTATTTTCGTTGTGGTAAATTGTGTCTCCATGATAGGTTGGCCAATAGTCCTCACTAGCTACCACTGGAAAACTGTTATTGTAGATATCGAATAATTTCACGACCTTGTAAACTTCTGATAGTTTCAAGAATGGATCCTGACGAACACTGGAACATGCGGCAATGACATGTGAACAAGGCATGCGGAAGGTTTGAAACTTTCCGCAGTCGCACCAATTTTTATGAATTTCCACCCTGTAGTGTCCCATTGGCTGACCCTCATTGTGATCCTTTGTCTCGTCAATATTGAAGTTGTAATTGTGACGATCAAATTCTCTAACTCGAGGTGAGGCCGCCTTAGAAGTTTCATCCTTCATATATTTCATACATGATTCGCTGAATATTTTCCCTGATTCTAAAACAATGCTCCATTTTTTGCCTCTTGCCACAAAAAGTGACCCCAATTTATAATAGGTTGCTCTTACCAACACAGTGATGAGGAGGTTTCTAGTTCCCTTAAATACTCCGTTTAGGGATTCCGCTAAGTTTGTGGTCATGTGACCTCATCGGCATCCTCCGTCAAAAGCCCTTGTCCATTTTTCGACTGGAATGCTATCCACCCAGCTTAATGCTTCCACGCTTGACAATCTTATTTCTTCGCGGTAATACATGAACGATGGTTGGTTTAAGGCATACCCAGCGTTCACAAATTTTTTACGGAGATTTCTGTCTTTCATTTCCCGCATAAAATTCTGAGCAACATGTCTTGTGCAGTAGACATGGACAGAAGGAGGATTGTGCCAACCATTAACAGGATTGTTGTAGGCGCTTACAATAGAGGCATATCTGTCGGAAATCAGACATAAGTTGGGTTGAGGAACGACATGTGTTCTGATATTTCTGAGGAAGAAACTCCATGCTTCACCTGTCTCACCCTCGACCAGAGCAAAGGCAATCTAAATTATATTATTATTTTCGTCTTGTGCAACCGCCATCAGCAATGTTCCTTTGTATTTTCCATACAACCATATTCCATCGACTTGAATAACCGGTTTGCAGAATGCAAAATCTTTGATACACGGTTGAAATGCCCAAAAGAGACGAGAGAATATCCTACTTCCATCAACACATGTTCCTTCAGGAGTGTATACTAGAAGTGACTCCAATATTACAACTGTACCAGGAACATATTTTTGAAGTGCTAGCAAATACTGTGGAAGTTGATTGTAAGATTTTTCCCAATTCCCATATACATGTTCAACCATTTTTATTCTTCCAATCCAAGCTTTCCTGTACAATGGGGTATAGTTGAACCATGCAACAACATGAGTGATAATTATGCTCACCTTCACAGATGGATCTACGCGCACAAGATGAAAAATCTCTTGGCATATTAATTAGGAGCTTAGTTTACCATGATCTTGCCGATTGATGTTGGTTGTGCAACTATGAGGTGGATCCATCGAACCTATCTCCCAATAATCACTTTTTTTCCGATAGGACACTACTAACCAAAACTTGCAATGTTCGTTACGACAAACTACGACATAACATTTTTTAGTCGTTCCGGTTTACTTCAAAATCAACAGTTATCCATGTGAAACTTTAATATAGGTTTCATGCACTCTGCTTTTATGCGGTACTGGTTCCCCACTTTCAATACACCTTCGATTTATTGAGAAGGATTGTAGAACAAATCTGAGGAAGTATCGTCTCTACTCAATTGCAAGTTAGTCATGTGTTGGGGAGGACAATACATATGACTTAATGGTAATGCCTCTTCATCTATGTCTTCAAGTGGAGTTATTATGGTGTAGTTCCCAGTCCCAAACAAATTCACCATTTGATCAACCATGGCCTCAGGTTCTTCTTCCTTCTCGTCCATAACATCAACTTCATCTTGTTCCAATGGCTGTGACTGATCTATTATCTGAGATTCACCAAACATTTTGGATTGTTGAGTCTGGCAGAGTAATAGATACAATTTGATATAGTCAAACCCAGAGTGTTCATGACTATCAAACATTTGTTGAACATCGTTATCGTTCTGTATATTCTGTTGAAAATACTTGACTTGACTGTTTTCAAAGAAAACAAGACTTCTGTATATGATTTGAGAGATTGGACCAGACAAAATCTTTGACTCTACTCGCTCTTTGAAATGCAAAAATTTGATTTTCTGCTCATTGTTAATCGGGTAACATCAGTATTTTGAAACCCAAAATCGGAATTTTCAAATAAGTATGTGTCTCCATTAAAATGAGCATGAACAATATAATTTGTTGTTCTAGACATATTTGCATGTATTGAAATTTAGTTTAGATGATATTTACCGTCTTCAATGTATACTGATATATATAATAAACATATTAGAATTAAATATTATTAAATCTTAAAAGGGTGGCGCAATGGTGTATGGAGTCCCTTCATTAAATTTAAAGGGTGGCGTCATAGGGTATGGAGTCCCTTCATTAAGTTTCAAAGGTGGCGCCATAGGGTATGGAGCCTCCTTGGAAATGTGTACGAAAAGTTAACACCATATCGCCATTGCCTATGCAGCCTCCTTGGAAATGTGTACGAAAAGTTAATTTTGCATGCATGCAATCTGCCAAGTGTGGAGGATTGTCTATAAACTTCATCTAACTCATTTACTTTTCTACATATCAATCAATATTTCAACTACAACAATTTAATTTTTCTATCTACCATAAATTCAAGTTTTTTACTATAAATACTATGGAGCCTCATTTTCAAAACTCATCAATTTTATCCAACATTTCAACATCTACCAATATTTTGTTCTTATAATCACACTATATAGTCTGTAGAAAAATGTCTCTGTTAACATTGGGCAAGAGGCATAGAGGAACACCAAACAACATCGCTTCTTATGTAAGTATTTGTAGCATTCTGTTTTTGTTATAATCACAGTGTTGTAATGATTTGTAGCTCACTATTTCTTTTTTGTTAGAATAGTCATGACTTCCGAACTTGTGGGCATAAACATTTCCCACATGACAAGATAATTCAACCATATTTGGAGCGTGCAAGATTTGGAGAAGAAATCAAAATACAAAATTATATCCTGGATACAAAGTTCATTTTAGCGCCTCAAGAAAGGTGGCGACCCTAGACGCATACATTTCATCTTCCAATAGGTGAATGTGTTGTTACTCTCGAAGACACTTACATGTTATTGGGTTTACCTATTAATGGTAAAGCGGTAAACGGTCTCGCTAATCCTCGTGGTAGTATGATAGAAGAACTTTTAGGGGTCGAACCAACCCCAAGCAATTTGAGGGGCCAAAAACTATTATTATCATGGCTCAAAAAACTTTATAGAGAGATAACATTAACCTTAGACTCTCCAGAAATATTGAAAATCAGAAAAACTAGAATTTATATTATGCTACTAATAGGCTTATTTTTATGTCCGGATGCAAGTGGTAACGCTATTCATCCTATATATTTAGTTTTATTAGATGACGTAGATAAAATAAAAACATATAGTTGGGGATCTGCCACACTATCACGCCTATATCGCTCTTTGTGTAGCAACGCAACAGAAAATTCGGGAAATTTTACCGGATGTGGTGTTCTTCTTCAAGCTTGGGGTTGGTCAAGAATGACCAATCTAGCACCTAGCCAACACAATAATTTCGGATTCCCATACGCTACAAGGTAATTTCTTAGACCAATTCTTTGAAAATTTCATATTTCTTAGACCTATTATTAACAAATGTTTCCTTTTCGATTTGTAGGTGGTCTTCACTTGGGATGAATTATGATAACTGTCCCCATTACAGTATCGCCCAGTACCGAAATCTTCGGGATCATTTGGGTCAAGATGATGTACCGTCACTAACCTACTTATTTAGAATAGAGTCGTCTTAAATATTATTTGAAAATACTAAATATTATTTTTTTCTCTTACAGTTTATTTGGCGGCCATATCTTGGTCTAGAAGCCATTCATGAAGTTAACGAACACGACTCTGCAGTGTGGAGTGCAAAGGTGCCGATTACCAACTTCACCATCGTGGAAATGCACAACAGTGATTGTGTCAAGCTTTAGTTTGGAATGCTAAAAGATATTCCATGTCCACCAAAATGCATCCCCGAGAAGTATCACACCAGTAAAGTCTCCGACCAATGGGACTATTCTCCATGGACCAACTATGCAAAACTTGAGCGTCGTGAATGGAAGCATCGCCACCATTTTGTTTTGTCCGACATTGTGTTGTCATACGAGAGAAACCCATCTATCCAATACATGAATTGGTATAGGTCGGTATCCATTGGTTTTATTTCTCATCCTAGATATCTTGTTGACCCACACCAACAAGCCTCATCATCAAGAACCCAACCACCGACCCAGCCCCATTTCCAACAACCAACCCAACCCCCACTCACACAACCACAACTCCATGAACATACCCTTCATCAACCCACCCCATTCACAAAAAGTTATTCTCAATCTCAATAGCAACAATATCTACCACCATACCAAACATACTCCTATGATACTACAAACCAATTTAACACAGAGTATCAAACACCCAATCAACCCTTACCCACCCAAACATTTACACCCATGTCACCTTACAACCAGGCAGGCTATCGTCCTAACATTGCCTCATCGAGCCAACCACCCCAACATAATTATACAGGCATGGGCAACCCCATTAATTTGGATGACTTTGCGGATATCGACTCACCTTCATGGGCCCAAATGATCCAATTTCTTGAAGACGGCCCATTGGACCCGACTCCACCACAAAGACCACCAAGAAACGTACGTACTAGAGGATGCGGTATAGGCGGACATTTACCTCGACCTAGTCGTAGAAATTAGTGTACCATATATGTACTCATTTGTTATTAAATGAAAATATTAATTATTATTTAATATATTATTTATTAAATACAATTTAATTTTTAATTATTATTAAAAAAAAACTAATATTTTATTTATTAAATATTACTTAATTGTTAAATATTATTTAACATATTATTTATTAAAAACAACTTTAAAAAAATCGTTTAAAGGTGACTCCATCATGGATGGCGCCCCCTTATAATTATAAGGGTGACTCCATAGGGGATGACACCCCCATTATAATTATAAGAGTGACTCCATAGGGGATGGCGCCCCCCTTATAAGATTTTTTTTTTGTTTGAAACGTGGGTATAATGGAAAATAATTTGAAAGTTTGGGTATATTGATAAATATTAGGGTGAAATATGGGTAGGTGGGTGAAAAAATTTGTGTGGACCAGCTTATATGAGATGGATGTATCTTGTTGAACGTTATACGAAAATATTGAAAGGGTATGTGAAAAACCGAAGTCGACCAGAGGGATGTATTGTTGAACGATACATTGTTGAAGAAGCAATTGAGTTTTGTACTGAATATTTATCAAATGTTCAATCCATTAGCCTCTCAAAATCTCATGTTGTTGAAAAAATAGTAGGAAAACAGTTAATTAAAAATAAAGTTGTGACAGTTTCAAGGGATGAATGGGAGCAAGTGCATTTGTATGTTCTGCACAATGACATTGAGGTTGAGTCGTATGTTGAAATGCACAAGGACGTTCTCCGAGGTTTAAATCTGAATAGAAATGAAAATTGGATAGTACGTGAGCACAATCGAAGTTTTATAACATGGTTCAAGGATCACATAATCTCAAAGTTTTATTCTGATCCTGCTTCAATAACATAAAGGTTGAGATGGTTAGCATATGGTCCAAGTTTGCATGTGTTTTCTTATAGCGCATACGCAATTAATAGATACACATTTTATACCAAAGAACAAGATGATAAAAGTACAATGCAAAATAGTGGTGTCATCGTGCTTGCTGAAGCAATGCACATTTCAAGTCTGGAAGATTTAAACCCCAAATATGCAAATCTGACATATTTTGGGATTATCGAGCGCATTTGGGTGTTTGATTATGAGAAGTTTCAGATTCCTATCTTTGGATGCAAGTGGGTTGAAAATAATAGTGGCATACGAATGGATAAGTCAGGATTTTTCAAGTGGATATTAATAAGGTAGGGTACAAAGATGAGCCTTTTATTCTAGCCACGCAAGTTAAACAAGTGTTCTATGTCACTGATCCAACAAGTACGAAATGGTATATAGTTCTTTTTTCCAACAAAGTAATTGATGATAACATTGGAGATCAGGGTGATGTTGATGTTGAGAAAGAATCTTATATTATAGATGATCAAGATGAGAATATTAGAGCGGATGAATCATATATTAGAAATGTTCATAACGAGGGAATTTGGATTAATCCATTAGTTCGTGTTGTTAAGAGACAAGTAAACCATGTTCTAACAAAGAAAAGAAAAAGATGTTAGTGACAAAGGTACTTTTAAAATTACATATTATATCATTCAATAAAATTATATATTATGTCATTCAATAAAATTATATATATGTTTTTCTTATTTATATATTTCTTATTTATATGTTTTTCTTTTCATATATATTTTTCGCTGTCGCTACTCGAAAAATGCAACGACGAGGAGGCGAGAAGAAAGACAGAAGAGTCGTCACCAAAATTTATTTATCCCATGAGGGGAAAGGAAAATATCGAGAAAACCTTAAGAAATGAATGAATACGATGGTCTCACGACCAAAGAACGGGTTCAGAAGTCGATTATGCGAAGGGAAGGTATTAACACCCCTCGCATCCACCGTACTCGATGGGAACCATTTGTTTGTCTACGTGTGAAGATATTTGTTAAAATATTAATGCTATAAAGATTGTTCCAAAAGATAGAGAGAAAGGATAGAAATAGGGGAAAGAGAGGTAACAGGGAGAAAAGAAGTTGGTCTCGAATCCAACATTATTTATCAATAGTTTGACTAATAACAGTTTACGGAGGTCTCGTCATCGACCGAAACGAGGAAATACGAAAATAAATCCTCAAAGATAAATAAATCCTAAAATCTAACTTCTAAAATAATATATTAAAATTCTAAAAAATAATTTAATGAAATATATTAAAACTTCTAACAAATTAAATTAGAAAAAAAAAAGAAAAAAACTTATTTACAAAAACATTATAAAAATTAAACAGTCTAGTTTATACAAATATATTGACAAACTAATTAATATTTAAAAACTGTTATTTAGAAAAAATTAAATAATAAACAAGCAAAAAAGGGGGTTTTAATATTGACAGGGGTGAGGTTTTGGAATCATCAGTAACAAGTGGTACGTAATTTAATTGGGTGAAGAAAAAAACAACAGCCAAAACTTCTTGCTTTTGCCGGCAAATCACGTTTATCGCAACCTTCGTCATCGCACAAAAAAGAGAGCCATCAAGGTCTATGAACAAATCAACTCCTGATGATTTCTGCTGAAACTTATAAGGTATTGACTATCCTCGGCGGACACGACATTGACAACGGGAAGAGAAATGCGGTGGTGGTTTTCTTTTGATAATGAATGGGTTTGGAGGAGAAGAAAATGGAGGAGGGTTGAGGGCGGCTGATTATGGACTTGACGAAAATTTGGGTTTAGAAATCCCGTCCACCCTTCTGTTCGCCTTACAGCAGAGAGGGACTTCGATGGAATGGTTATGGTGAGTTGGAGTTGCGTTTGGTTTTACGTTTTGGGTGGGGAAACAGCGACGAAAATCTGGGTTTGAAGGTTGATGAAGATGTTGAAGTGAAGATGGTTGAGAGTTTCGTTTGGTTGTTGATGAACGGTTAAAGGGAGAATGAAATGGTGACCTGGTTTGATGAAGGGAGGTAGAAATGGAAGTCTGGTTTCGTTTGGAGTTGGGATTTTGTTTTTTGTTTGGTGTTGGTTGGAAGAGGAAGACGAGTGGGTTGAAGGAGGAGGGTTTCGATGGGTTAGAGAGAAGATTGAGGGTGAACAGTGGACGGAAGGCGACTGGTAGGATTTTTTCGGTGTGAGGGATGATGAATAGGAGTAGTGGCTATATACACTGGACACGTGGCACTTGTGTTGCTGTTTTTGTTTGATTTTCAATTAAATAATAGCCTGTTGTACTAATAATGAATTAACTGATTAATAATAATAATAATAATAATAAAACTATTCTAAGCCTAGTTCTAATAAACTAAGCTCTAATAATTCTATTCTAATATCTATTACTAATTAATTAATTAATCTTAATCTAATTAATTCTAATCTAATAAGAATTCTATATTCTAAACTAATCTATATAGAAATTCTAACAAAAACCTAGTTTCTAATAAAACTAATTACTATAATTCTAATTCTATTCAATTCAAAATTAATTTCTAAACCTAATTAAAATTTTATTACTAATCTATTTTAAACTAATTCTTAATGACATTCTAATTTAACCTTAACTAAAATTCTAAGCTCTAGTTTCTAATTTCTAGTTAAACTAGTTCTAATTTCTAATCTATTAATATTACATTCTTACTAAAACAAAAACAATATATGGACAAAATGTTAATATTTTTGAAAGGAAAAAGTTAGAAAAATAAAAAAATGGAACTAATGGTTACAAAAATAACATCTTTAGGTCACGTGTCACGCCCTCATTGGACAAAATAACAGAGATTTGAAAAATGTCCAATCGTGGGTGGACACGTGTCTAAATGTCATGAAATTAAGCGGACAATGCATAATTAAAAATAGAATAAAAAATGCAAAAATATTTGCAAAAGGGGAGGACAAATTTAGAGTGTTACAGATGCCCCTATCTAATCGGCTTAAACCTAGTAAGACGAAATGCGATGGCATTCATTCTTTCGAGGTAGAAGATGATTAGATATAAAAGACCCTGAATTTATCCGAAAAGAAGGAAAATGCTTGAGAAATGAAATACTAGATATCTTGCAAAGGTCATTATCACCAAAAAGGATAATAACAGAGAAAACTTAACACCAAAAGGATGACAAGCCCATCACCAAAAGGATGATAGTACACTCACGCACACACTGTCCTGACATTATAAGGATGTAGGGGATCCATTACCAAAAGTATAATGGAGAACATTCGCTCATCATGACACCAAAAGGATGTCAGACCCATCACCAAAAGGATGATGGAGCGAAAC